AATATGGCAAGGCTTACTTTGACCTAGACAGAGTGCTAGATCAAAAAAAGTAAGTACTTTCTTGAAATATTAACTGCTAAAATATAATTTTTAACAAATATTTGTCTTCAGGTTCAGAAAATTCGTCTCAAAACGAATTTAGTAAATTCTATCAACAAATACTATAAAATAAATTAAAATTGCAATTTTCAAAAAAATTTGAAACATTTTTTGAGTTTTGCAAAATTTTCTACTAACACAATTTGATTAAAATTTGTGAAAAACCTTCATTAAAATTGTAAAAAAAAAAATTAGACTAAAATTTTTGAAAAAATATTCCAATGTTGCTTGACCCAAAAATTTGAAACTAAAAACCCAAATTTACAAAACGACCAAAATTCTGCTGGAAATTTTTTTAAAAATTCCAAGGCCTACTTAAGACTCAAAATTAGCATTTTTTAAAAATAAAAAAAATTGTTATAATATAAATTTCGATGTCAAAACACACAAAAAATGACACGACCTTGACCATCCCCGCAATTCGGAACAAACTCTAAGTGATAAACTTTTCAAATAGTTTATTTATTTATTATCTTTTTAACACAACACTGACAAGAAAAATTGCAACCTTGGTAATTTCTCGTAAAGAATTTATTGCAATTTAACACCACTTTATTGCATTACACACAAAGTGCGTCAAGATTTAATTACTCAATAATAAACCGCTCATTCCACTCGTTTATAATTCACTCAAAATGAAATATTTATTTATCATTGCCCATTTTTCTACCAAATCACCCACTCCCAATGAATTTTGAATCATGCCACCATAAATCTCCATCGCCTCCTTCGACCTTCTTTACCTTTCGCCGTGCACATTCACATCGTTCACATGACCGCGAATTGCGCCAAATGCAGTAAGCACATGCCTTTGGTCGAGTCGGCGTCGAGGACGTCGAGACGCTCTGACATTCGCGTCGTAACTGAGGAGACGACGAGGCGATGGTGGAGCTTGCGCGAACTCCTCCAAAGCGGAAGTGTGCGAAAATACGCGTCGGGGAGGTGAAGGAGACGACTGGTTTTTTGATGAATGAAAGGTGGGAGGGGAACTAGGAGAAAACTAGTTTTTGGGTTTTTTGGTTGGCAAATATGGAAAATTTTGCAAGGTTTTGGTGAAAAAATCTGGAAAATTAATGAAAATCTTGAAATCTGTTGCAGTTACATGAAAAATACGTTTATTTCTAGAATTCTTGGACAATTGAAAACTTGTTATATTTCAGTCGTTTGTTTTCATGAAAAAAAAAATTGGAATTCTGAGACAATTTTACATAAAATTTGTTACATGTATAACCTTTTTGGTCTTTCTTTAAACTAGAAAAAATTCAAATGTTAACTACTTTTTAATAAAAATTTTAAGTCAAGGTTCATAAATTTTATTACAACTTGAACTTGCATCAAAAACAAATAAAAATTTGAAATTCTTAGACAATTTTACCCAAGAAAAACAAAAGTTTCAGATATTTCAGTTTTTGTCTGAAAAAAATTAAATATTTTTTGTAGACAAAAAACATAAACAATTTTGGATAATTTTACTAAAGACAACATTTATTAAAAAAAAAAAAACAAAATTTAGTTCAGAAGCAGAAATGTTTAAAATGGTATTTTTCATAGGTAAAAAATAAAAACAGATTTGTAATGTAGAGAGAATTTCGCGTAAGAAAAGTCAAAACTAAATATTTTAATTGTTAATTTAACAAAAAAAAATTCCTTTAACATTTTGTGTTCTTGTCCAATTTTTTAAGAACCTCTTTTTATGCAAATTAACACTAGATTTTACATTTTTACTCCATTTATCACAAATGAGTTAAAATTTGAACCAAAAATGTTTATTTTTGCGTCGCTGATATAAAAAAAATTGGTTTGTTGCTCAAAAACCAGATCATTTGTCAAAAATGTAAGTCAGTTGTGTAGAATTATTTTCATCTTGAAATATGTGAGAACTGCATGAGAAATACATTCAAATTTGAAATCTTTGAACAATTTTACGTCTGAAAAGTAAAAATTCTAGATTTTTCAGCCGTTTGTATTAATGAAAAAGAAAATAAACTAAATAATGATTTTAACTTAATTTTCACAAAATTGAATTGAATTTTAGCCGATATCTCAAAAACTGTTTGTCGTAGGTGAGGAATAAAAACAGATTTGAAATTGTGAGACAATTTTACATAAAATTTGTTAAATGTTTAACTTTTTTGATGTTTCTATAAACCAGAAAAAAAAATCATTCATTCAATGTTAACTCTAATTTTTAGTAAAAATTTCAAGTCAAGGTTCTTAAATTTTATTATAACTTGAAATATATTAAACTTACATCAAAAACAAATAAAAATTTGGGATTTTTAGACAATTTTACACAAGAAAAGTTAAAGTTTCAGATATTTCAGCTGTTTGTGTCTCTGAAAAAAATTTAATATTCTGGTAAAACGTCCTTAACTATTGTAGATTGTAGACCAAAAACAAAAACCCATTTGTAATTTTCAAATAATTTTAGTCAAAACAACATTAATGAAAACATTTCAACGGTTTATTTTAACAAAAAAAAATTAGTTCAGAAACGTTTAAAATGGTAACTTTGAAAAATTTTCTCCAATATTTTAAAAATTATTTTTCATAGGTAAAAAATAAAAACAGATTTGTAATTCTAAGACAATTTCGCGTAGGAAAAGTCAAAACATTAAATATTTTAATTGTTAACTTTGACAAAAAGAATGTTTTAACTTTTTGCCTTCTTCAATTTTTAAAAAAACTGTTTCTAATGCAAATTAACACCAAATTTAAATTCTTACTTAAATTTTCACAAATGAGTTAAAATTTGAAACAAAGATGTTTATTTTCGGGTCGTTAAAATAAAGAAATTGTTTTTTGTTGCTCAAAAACCTGAAAACTTGACTCGTTTGTCAAAAATTTAAGTCAGTTATGTAGATTTATTTATATCTTGAAATATGTGAAAATTACATTCAAATTTGAAATCCTTGAGCAATTTTAGGTTAGAAAAGTAAAAATTCTAGATTTTTCAAAAGTTTGTGTTGATGAAAAAAATTAAATAACCAGGAGAAGCGTTTAAACTTAATTTTGACAAAGTCGAGTCGAATTTTGACCAATATCTCAAAAACTGTTAGTCGTACGTAAAAAATAAAAACAGATTTAAAATTCTGAGACAATTTTACGTAAGAAAATTATAATTTGTAACATTTATGATGTTTGTTTTAACGACAAAAAAATCCAAACTTTACTCTTAATTTATTTAAAATTATGACCCTAATGTACTGAATATTAATTAATATTATAAAAAACTCTTTATTGTAAACTAAAAACAATAACAAATTTAGAATTTCCAAAGCATTTTACTTAAAATAACCTAAATTTGAAACATTTCATTTAATTAAAAATTCTCAACTCAACAAGTGGAAACCGACCAAATTTTGATCGATATTTTCAAAACTATTACTTGTAGGTAAAAAATAAAATCAAATTCGAAATTATGAGACAATTCTACGTAAGAAAAATCAAAATTCTTAATTTTTTGATTATTCATTTTGACAAAAAAAAAAGGTAACTTTTTGTTATGTAACATTCTCGCTACATAAACTTTACCATATCTCAAAAAGTATAAAAATGATAACAACAACGAATTCAAATTTCTGAATAACATGTGTCAAAATTCAAAGTTTATTTAGCCGAAAAAATTCTTAATTTTCAAAAAAATTGATTTTTGACCAATTTCGTGAAAACCGTAGGAACAAATTTGAACTTTTTGATAATTTTATAGAAAAAAAAACACAAACTCAAAATATTTGAGCAGTTTGACTCATATTTTCACAATTTCGTGTCACAATTAAAAATAAGCCAATTTTACACAGAAAAAATTAAAATTAACTTAACCAAAAGTTTTCTAATTTTCATTTTTGGTTTTTATTTATTCCAAATCGCAATTAGCACAACAAAATAACGCAAAACTCGCGACAATTGCGCCGCTAATGAACATAATTCATGTTTGTAATTTTTTCGCAGTTGCAATTCTCCAAGGCGCAAATTGGTCGACCTTTGGCGTCGCAAAACTCGTCTAATTTGAGCAATTTCTTGCAAGTGACGAGTCAGTCATTCGCGAAATAATCTTGAGGAGGTCTCCTCGACGACACATTGCCAGAATTTAAGCGACAATTCATAAGTCGATGAACACAAAAGCCTTTGTTCGCGAAATACAACAGGAAAGGCTTTCAACACAGAAATGTCAAGCTCGAAATATAATTTTAATATTTCCCCTCAAATATCGAGCGAAAATAGACTCAAGTTTAATTGAAAAGTGAAATAATGGCCGAAATTGGGGCTCTAGAACGTTTTTTTTTCGGTTTTTTTCACTAGTTTCGAATATAGAACAGAATTTGGTGTTTCAATCAGATTCGCTTTGTGAGTCGAAAATTGAAAAGAATTAATGGTTTCAGGGAGAGGAAATTGAGTCTGGTTTAAGATACGAAAACATAATCTTGCAATTTTTATTTCAGTTCCAAATCTGTTTTCATTTCTTGTCCACAAATATGTAAGAATTTTTTCGATTAAATAATCAAATCTAATTTGGATTTCAAAACTAATTTTAGTTTTTACCCACAAGTAATAGTTTTGAAAATATCGATCAAAATTCCGTAAGTTGAGATTTTTTTAATTAATAAAAATGTCTGAAATGTTTCAAATTTAAGTTATTTTAAGTAAAATGTTCTGGAAATTCCAAATTTGTTATTGTTTTCAGTCTACAATTAACAGTTTTTGAAATATTAATCAACATTCAGTTCATTAGGAGTTTTTTGTCGTTAAAACAAACAACAAAAATGTTACAAATTATTATTTTTTTATGTAAAATTATCCCAGAATTTCAAACCTGTTTTTATTTTTTGCATACGACTAACAGTTTTTGAGATATGGGCTAAAATTCAACTCAACTTTGTCAAAATTAAGTTTAAACGATTCTCCAGTCTATTTAATTTTTTTCATTAACACCAACGGCTGAAAAATCTAGAATTTTTATTTTTCTGACGTAAGATTGTTCAAGAATTCTAAATTTGAATGTATTTTTCATGTAATTCTCACATATTTCAAAATTTTTTATATTAGTGAGCCAAAAATAAACATCTTTGTCTCAAATTTTAACTCATTTGTAAAAAAATAGGTAAGAATGTAAAATCTAGTGTTAATTTGCATCAAAAACAGGTTTTTTATAAATCGGACAAGAAGACAAAAAATTGCAAATATTTTTTTGTCCAAGTTACAATTAAAATATTTAAAGTTTTGACTTTTTTTACATAAAATTATCTCAGAATTACAAATTTATTTTCGTTTTTCACCTATGAAAAATAATTATTAAAATATAGGACAAAATTTTTAAACGTTTCTGTTTCTGAACTAAATTTTGTTTTTTTTTGTGAAAAAAAAACGTTCAAATTTTCTAATTTGTATTATCTTAAGAAAAATTATTTGAAAATTCCAAATTTGTTTTTGTACATCAAATCAACCGCTTCACCAGAATATTTAATTATTTTCAGACACAAACACCTGAAATATCTGAAAGTTTTATTTTTCTTAGGTAAAATTGTCTAATAATTCCAAGATTTTAGTTGTTTTTGATGTAAGTTTAATATATTTCAAGTTATAATAAAATTTAAGAACCTTGACTTGAAATTTTTACTAAAAATTAGAGTTAACATTTGAATTTTTTCTAGTTTAAAGAAACACTGAAAAGATTTCATATTTAACAAATTTTATGTAAAATTGTCTTAGAATTTCAAATCTGTTTTAATTTCTCACCTACGACAAACAGTTTTTGAGATATTGGCTAAAATTCAACTCAACTTTGTCCAAATTAAGTTTAAACGCTTCTCCAGTCTATTTAATTTTTTTCATTAACACCAACGGCTGAAAAATCTAGAATTTTTATTTTTCTGACGTAAAATTGTTCAAGAATTCTAAATTTGAATGTATTTTTCATGTAATTCTCACATATTTCAAGATATGAATAAATCTACATAACTGACATAAATTTTTGACAAAAGAGTCAAGTTATCAGGTTTTTGACCAACAAAACCAAATTTTTTATATTAGTGAGCCAAAAATAAACATCTTTGTCTCAAATTTTAACTCATTTGTAAAAAATTGAGTAAGAATGTAAAATCTGGTGTTAATTTGCATCAAAAACAGGTTTTTTATAAATCGGACAAGAAGACAAAAAATTGAAAATATTTTTTTTGTCCAAGTTACAATTAAAATATTTAAAGTTTTGACTTTTTTTACATAAAATTATCTCAGAATTACAAAT